CCCCAAAACCCCAAAACCCCAAAACCCCAAAACCCCACTTGATGTAAATATTGATTTTGAGAATTAATGAATATTAAGTAAGTAATAAAATGAGATTTAGGATTATTGTCGCAAAAGACCTGCTCAAGCCTTGCTTAAACAATCAAAATGATAGGTATTAAATCAGTATTAGCTAGCAACAAGAAGACAAAGATATACTTTCACTTAGAAACATAATAATTTCTAAGGTTTAAGCCAATCTGAGAAATGACCTGGACTTGAAGGACAATTTTTCCTAGAATATGGTTTTGACCTCTGAAGATGACTTTATTATTGATAACTCAGATGTAATTAAAGAAACTTTGATAGAAAATTAAATTATTAAGCTTAAATTTTTGGACTAAAAATAAAGCAGTTCTCATCAAAATGAGTAGATGTCTAATGCTGAAGAGGATAAAAGATTTTACTTTTGGTATGGACACTAATCCAGTAGTCTAAGTAAAGCTATGAATATGATAGACAACAGAGTTGAGATTACAAATATTGACTCAGAGAAATAATAATTAGACGGTCAAAAGAAAAGAGTAATTAAATTGAAAACAAAGAGTCGTTTGTAAGATGAGTCAAAGATTAATAAATTAGAACTGATTAGGAAGATAACTGATATTTTTATTGAGGAGAGAAACGAGGCTTTAGATTAGTAAAAAATCAGCATCTGTTAAGAGAAGGTTGAAGATAATAAGTAAAATACTGTAATTGAAAATATTGAGATGGAGGAGAATAAAGTGTAATCAGATAAAGATGCTATTAATTAAGCATCTCCTTCAAAGATAATAAAGAGAGTATCATTTAGTGAAGAAAAGTAGATTAAGTATTACAGATAGGAGAGTGATGATTAAGGCCTAATACATTAAAACTTAGTAGATTAAGATAATGAGATTGTTCCAACTTAGCTCTTCAAAGATGATGATACCAATTAGAAAAATGTAAAGAAGATTACATCACTTCAAATTGTAAAAATGAAATTTAGAAGAACAAATGAGCTTAAGTCTCTTCTTTCGTTGTAGCCTGGTTAATCACCTAAAAAATCATTGTTCTTAGCTAACTACAATCTTAGATCTAATAGATAGAAACGATCTAAAAGTAGACAAACATCAAATTAATGAAAACTTAAGCTTATTTATAATTTTGATTGAATTGAGATTAGTTCAATTTTTTATTAAGTAATACTATCTTATTAACTTAATAAATCTAAAGTTAATTTCATTAATTTCGTAAACTAAAATTAAAACTTAAAATGGAACCAATGACCAGTAAGCAGATGCTTAAAATGGAAAAATCACTTTAAAAGTCAGCTCTGTTCAAAGACTTCAATGAGAAAATTTTGATGTATATACTTGAACCCATCAATGTGATTACAATTTCTTTTCTAAGAGGAGTTTGTAAGAAGTTTAACTACATTATATGCAAGAAATCAAATGAGTTCAACTACTTCGATTCTCTCAATATCGTTTCATCAATTACAAACATTCACCTGCTCAAGATTTTGCAGAAGTTCTCAAACATCTAGACTTTTAAAATTCAACCTAAGATCACGACCTCAGAGCTCTCAAGGTTTCTAGACATCATTAGACCCACAATAAAGGAATTCTCAACTCAAGACTCTCATATAGATTTCTCTAAGCTGTTTAGAACAATCAAACTGCCTAGCTTGTAGAGATTCATTTTCTCTAACACTAAGAAGATTATTCAAGATGTTGATATCAGATCTCTGGTTGAGGGTTGCCCGAACCTTACTTACTTAGATCTTTCTAATGTCCCATCAATAGACAATAGATTAATTTCAAAGGCATTAGAGAAGTTACCAAAACTAGAGACTTTTATACTACTCAAAAATGTGAACATCAACTATGAAATATTCTTGGTTTTATCTCTTAATTGTCCAGTTCTGAAACACTTAGAGATTGGAGGATTGTCAAATGAATTTAATAATAACATCACTTATGAAGGTATTGAGAGCTTAACCAAATTGAAATCTAGACTAAGAAAGATTAAATTCGAGTACTGTGGTAAGATTGGAGATATGAGTATCTAAACACTTGTTTAGCACTTCGGTTCAAGTTTAGAGGAATTCTCAGTCATCAGAAACTATTTTGAAAAAGTTGCGAAAATAAGTGATGATTGTCTAAAGGTATTCCAGCATGCCCCTAATCTAAGGAAGCTTGAAATCGTGTATTCTAGAAAATTTGATGAAAATATCGCCATATATCTATCAAAGTACTTTACTAATTTGCGTATTCTGAATCTTTCAGGTTGTCCAATTCAAGTTAGTCTTGAACCTCTTAATTATGGTTGCCCTTATCTTGATGAGCTCAATCTATCAGGTGATTCTTGGGTCAAGAAAATATGCTTACTAGGAGTTGCTAAACATAAGAATCTATCAGTGTTTCATCTAGGCCACTTTGAACACTCTGATTTCAAATGCCAAAGTGTGGCTTGTGAATTTCCACCTAAAGGTTTCTATATTGCTGGTCTTTTTGAAAAGCCAGATAACTTTGTAAACTTAAAAATTCTATACTTGGAAGAAAATTGCGATCTCAGTGATTTCTTAGTTGAGAAGATTAGCAAGATTAGAAACAGGCTTTTGATTAGATTCAATAGAAATGAAAGTCTCATCGGAGAAAGTCTAGACATTAATGATGACGAAAATGACTGAATTTATCATATATGATCTCAGGAACTATAAAATAAACAACTATATATTTTAATTCAAAGATATGCCACTAAAGTTCTATTGAATTTCTAATAAGTAGGGGTTTTGGGGTTTTGGGGTTTTGGGGTTTTGGGGTTTTGGGG